ATACAGCATTAACGTGACGCGAGCGGTCGCGCTACTGTCATTAAGACAGTCTGCAGCACGGCACGCTTCATTTTATTACAAAACGACTTTAAACGTACTTTACTTCACTCTCGTCTCATTCTCTGATCACGATCCTGCTCTAGTGCAGCAGAACAGAATTCATTTTCCTTTCATGGATTGTTCGGGAGTCGCTTCTTCGCTATCACTGAGATGCCAAATACTGATTTGCTCTAATGTTGTGTTATTGATTCCTCGAATTTACTTTTTCTTCACAACTGTAATTTGGTAATTCACGGGTAAATTCCAATAAAATGATATTTCTGATACTCTTATTCAACCACAGTCTTTATTCTGGAAATTGTCTATGTGTAGATGTAAATACACAACACCACCGTCAATTTTTCTAGCACTGCTCATCCACTGTAAACCGCTGCTCACGCTTTGATAGCTCGTTCAAGGATGATTTTACTGTGGGCGATCAGTTCTGGAAAAATAGATAAGCTAGACATACAGTTTGGAAAATGGGATGGAGTATATTTTGCTCGTCGAAAATCCAGCAATCTCTAGAAGACTCTGTAATCGTCGACGCGTCTGTGTCGTATGTGTCTCCCGCTTGTAATCTCTGATTTTGTCCCACAGAAGCCATCACCAACAGTACCAACAGAGCAATTGATGCAGGACTGCCATTCGAGCAAGAGAGACTCAACGAGGGTCAGGATCGTATCAGGGAGTTGAAGATCAGAGTTGCCTGGCAAATCATACAGTTTTTCTATGTTAGAATGGAAGGTGAGTAAGTGGATCCACCGGTACGTCAAAGGACCGAAACCATGTTCATTTCTCTTAAGAGGGCTTAGGCGGAACGAGACACGGGCAGCGGGTTTATGAAAATGAGCTCTGCCTTATCATCCTCTCATTTCTCATTTTATATAATCCATATCAAACCGTTTATCCCGATAAGACTCACCAAACAGACATCGACTAATTGTATGCTTACTTCGTATTACCTGCCTACAAGTTGGTTCGCTTCGTTTGGTTTCAACTAAGCCCTGACTGAACTACATGGAGGAGACGTGGCTAGTTCTCTATTAAGCTCATTCCCTATGAGAGCTCTGCAGTAAGAGGTGTATTCTCAATATTTGCTTTTCCAGCTCAGAAGATCTTGCGACGCCTTTTCTTATGAAAATGCTGGGTCAAATGCAAGTGCTTAGCTCAAGTTTGAAGTGTGAAAAGCAGAGCGATGGAACCTATCTATATGAATACACAATTCAAGTGCACCCACAAAAAGAAGACGAAGACCTCGCTGGTATGATTTCGCGAAATTAACGCAATGAAGGCCAGTCAATTAAAAAATAACCTGTTTTTCTATCGAGCCTTAATCGTTGAGAGAGGGGAGCAGGGACTGGTGGACGAGAAGGGACGAGGAGTCGAAAAGCGGAAGCAGATGGCCTCGGTTGACTTACTAAATTCGAAAGTGTGGTTCGAGGGACTTCACAGTTGCTCCACCCTTATGAGATAGCAACGAATCTCTGTCCACCAGGGGTAGCACAGAGCTTGTCAGGTCGAATAATATCCCATAGAGGCGCAATAAGGGCTCGAAGTATGCCATCACCCTTAACCATACCCAGCTGAGGCCGTTTCAGCGGCCTCGTAGAGACTACCACTCAAAACGGGGCGCACATGTTGAGAATTCAACTGCTGATCGCTACGAACAATAGTGATATTCGGATCATTTTGACAGTTTTTTTGCTAATTGTAGCTAGCTCCTATGAACCGGCTGAAATCAAAATGCGACGAGTGTGTTGTATTAAGTGGTGAGAAAAACTGAGCTTCCATGAAGTTCTCTTGTTGTGTGTGCCACCGGTCCGCCTGCAGACACCGTAGTATAATTAAAGGTGAAAACGACGGACTGGATCCCCCAGTGAAAACAGAAGAGAAACTATCACGTCGTTGACAGCGAATGCTTCCTCCCTCTGGCTGCAAGCTATGTGCTCCCTTCTAGATAACAATTGGTTTGCACCGGCAACGTAATGCCGCACGTATAGCTTTCTACTGACCGTTTCGTTTGTTTCATTTCATAAGGTACTCAACTCATGTGTCGCTACAAGAACATACTTCCACACGACGTTATTACCTGGTGGTAGTCCATACAAATGTTTGAGGAGTCAAAATGACTTATGAACATGCTTTGATCATGACCTCTTTAGCACTGCTTCATTCGGACTCGCATTCATCATTAGACTACCGGACCAGCTCCGATTACACCTCCAGCTTGTCGCCCGTTAAGCCGGTACGTGAACTTCCGGCATATTGGCGCCGTAAAAGGGCGGAGGTGGTGTAATGGCAATGGGCGCACACCATCGCACGTGTGGTTCACGAAATATTATAAATCTCGGATCGATACTCGCTTGGTATGCCAAGCCTTACAGTGTGTTAAATGGTACTAGCGTGGGAGGATAGATTACTGACTTGTATAGGGTGCGCCAAAATTACTCTCTCAAATATTTACCGCTGTAAACGATAGATTGAGGAATTATTTTTCTACAACACTTTATTTATGTTAAGCCATTGCACACATTCGATTCAAATTTCGAAAATCCCTCCAGGGGTGCGGACACAGGCCCTCAGACGCAAGGAGAAGTCGTCCACTGTGGCGCTAAGGTACTCCAAAGGCATTGTGGTGCTGCTTACAAGGAAGGTCTTTCAGGGCGTGGGACGCTTTTTGAAAATGGTTCTTTGCATGGTGTAGGGGCATGAGCACTGAATACAGAACTATGGTCCATTTTCGCTAAATGACCTTTTGAATGCCAAAAAAGGAGTAAAAATGATTTGGCCAGAAATTGCCGTTTTAACCCACTAAGCGTCGCTTGTTTTATATATGGCGTCGACTGTCCGCACAGTAGAAGGCGCCACTGGACTGCGCATTGAAAATAATGTGAACGGTAGCCAAAAAAGGGAGCCACATGTTGAAACATATTGGAAAGTACGGGGAAGTTGCATATGTGCTTGCCACGGTTGAGCTGCTGGCAGCAATGGATGGTGTGATGGATAGCGATGTGGACTTCGAATTGGGATGACTTGATTGTGTTGGTGGTTCGGATTCCCTGGGCTGTGACGTTTTTGCATTTTATGCCGCCACCTCCAGATTGGCTCCATATTGTACCACAGTCAAAGCAATGAGCCAGAGAGGTGGAGGTGGACGACTAGGCTGGCCTGGCCGACCACCTATTTGTATTGGATCCCCTGGGATACTTGGTACCAGCGCCACTGCACCGCACAATGCATTCCTCCGCATCTCGTTCACTCCTTCGACTGATGCCAAAAGCGTCTGTTATGGTTAGCTCATTGGCCTGTATGTGTGTACATTGGCCTTGACCTTTAACGTTATTTATGTGTGTATTTGAATATTGCAGGGATGTCTCGGATCCGCCATCATTTACTGCGTACTGGTACTCGCTCCATGATTTTTTAATTGACAAGTCTACGAGTGTTCTTTCAGGCGTAAATCTCGATCGCGAACTTGAAAACCTAACGCCTGGCTGAGGTTCCCTCGATGGAATCGACATTCGCAGACGAACACACGGGAACCTGGTCATGGACACCATACCGAAAAAGGTTGCCAACTGTGTACTGACTGTGTAGCTCTACCCTAGCAGAGCTGGTTTGGTGAAGCGTAGCTGTTCCGCGTCAGATGCACCAAAAGACGAACGAGACTGGCATGACCGAGAAGTCCTCGATGAGACGCTGTCCACTTCGAAAGATGGCACCGACTAAACACGTGAACGCCGGGACAATACGACTCCTTACACCGGAATCTGTGTGGAATAGCATTTGATATCGCTCGCTCTAGACACCTCGGGATCATCGCCGGGACCGGAGCCAATGAGCAGTCCAACTCTGTCCCGTGTGTCTTCGACGCTTTCATCAGAAGAATCGATAACGGAAATTTTCCGATTTGATTCGGAGATCTTCGCATTGTCTCCCACGAAGAAAGCATCTCTAGAGGAGAAACAAAACAACGGAGTAGTTGCTGTGCGGAATCCTAACACAGAAGCCGACTAGGTGGCTGGCCAGGCCAGCCTAGTCGCCCACCTCCACCTCTCTGGCTCATTGCTTTGGCCCTGGAGCAATATGGAGGCAATCTGGAGGTGGCAGTGCGAATTGCAAAAGTTCATCGTCTCGAGGATGCGAACCACCAACCCAGCCTAGCCGTCGCAGTTGGAAGTCTTTATCGCTATCCACCACACCATCCGTCGCTGGCTGCAGCTCAACCATGGAGAGCATATATGAAACTTCCCCTTACTTTTGAGAATGTCATAAATTTTTTTGCTACCGTTCGCGTTATTTTCAATGCACAGTCCACTGGCGCCTTCTTCTGTGCGGACAGTCGACGCCATGAATAAAGTAAACGACGCTCAGCGGGTTAAAACGGCAGTTTCTGACAAAATCATTTTCACTCCTTTTTTGGCATTCAGAAGGCCATTCAGCGGAAATAGGTCATAGTTCTGTACTCAGCGCTCATGCCCCTACACGATGCAGAAAACCATTTCCGAAAAGCGTTCCACGCCCTGACAGGCTTTCCTTGTTAGAACAGGCCTTCCTTTAGGTGGCCATTCCTGAGCATTGATAAATCCTGGCAGAGTGTCTCGGCACCACTGCTGGGTCACCCTCGCTCTATGAGCCAGTGCCGAATCTTGTTGGAACACGATCGGTCTAGAGCCGAAGCGTTATTTTGTCCATAGAAACAAAATGATTTTCAGCACGCTCTACAAGTAAACTTCCGTATTGATTTTGACATCGTTGTCGATAAAAAGCAGCGGTAACTTCAATTCGTTAGTGATCGCTCTCCGAACCATGACTTTTCCTGCATGGACAGAACGTCCACGAATACTATCTCTCTCGTTAGCTTCTTCAGATGTTGAGCAGAGCATCCGGCCGTTTTGACGGTTGAACGCCAACTACATCAGAGAAGACAATGTCTCGGTGGCGCGTCGATGCGAACCGTCGGAGGAGCATCTTGCACTTCTGGATCCGGTTTTTCTTCATGGATGCAGTGAGAAGGTGCATATTTTGGCACTGATAAGGGTTAATTCCAACTTCTCTCTAGCTATGAGGCGACAGGAACTATTACTTATTCCCAGCTTCTTGGCAACCTTCCTCATTGACTTCTTCAGATTGCACCGCATCATATCCCATACAACTTCAGCCTTTCCCCGTGGAAGTTGCAGTTGTTTTTCTTCCCCTTCCTGGGCGGTTTCCTGTAGTATCGAGTTCCTTGAATCGTTCGATGGTGGAGTCCACAGTTCTTCTGCTGATTGATAGAGTTTTTGCGATGGTTTTGGAACAGCGACCCATCTGGTGTAACTGAATAATCCCGGGTCTGAGAAGATGAGGTCCAACCATTTTGAAAGGAGTAGGAGCTGAGGATCGAAGCTTGTAGTTCTGATAAAGGAAGAATTGCCTAACATGTTCGCGTCTAATCGATAGGTCATCGCTTCATTAATTCAATAGGTCAGACTCTGCAACTTTGAGCAAGTAATTTTAGCGCACCCTGTACATCGGTTTGCCATCGCAAGTTATTGTGTGAAAAATATACGCATTCGAAGCACCATTGTGATGTCGCAAGGAGGGCGGATGGGGGCTAAGCCACGAAAGGGAACGATCAACCGAAGACTAGCCCTTATTATCCACCAAATGTGAGATTGTTTGTACTGTAAGATCGAATTATCGCTGGAATGTGATCATGTGCTTGAGGTATCACTCTCCACATATTGGAAGGAATAGTCGTAGTGATTCGCGCGGGATGCGAGAACGCGTGTGAGGGGATGGGAACGGGGAGGGTTCTTGAGACCACTCGTTTATACTAATCAACACACTGATTGATAGTTAGGGAATTTCGTAGGGGAGCGAATGCTCTATTTCATATTGCACACATCGAAACTGCTAATTGTAAGTCTAGAGGCCCGTTATCTACAGTTCTTGAGGACTTCAATGTTTCTTTTCCATGTCTTTGTTTCGCTGTATTGGAACTTATCAACATCTTCTTCACCTGATTGCTGGGGTGCATGATGAGTGCAATTAATAAACACATAAATAAATATATAATTCGTTAAGTGTTTCTGTTTGCCGATGGTTTGTTTGAGTACGTGTTTGATTGGCGATTCCATAACACATAACTACAATTACTCTAGGTCTGGAGAGTTCGATTACGAAGAGGTATTACCTGAAGGATGGGGACATTGATAGTAGGTGATTGGGAGTTATAAAAATTGATAGGGTCTGGAGAGGAGCCTTAGCATTCAAGAACTACAGGATAAAGTGTTCCTTTCGCATCACCCTTGAAGTCGCAGTACATTGGTGTGTGATGGAGGATGTAAAGAGGTCATAGTTGTCGGTGACAGAAACCAATAATAATAGATTATAACTGACATAAAGACATAGAGGGCCGAAGGTAAAGGAAAGCCGAGGGTTCTTCAAACACTTCGTGTTAACAGTGTAACCTCAGCATCTTGAAAGACATTGTAAGGCCTGTAGCAATCACGAATAAACCAGTTGGGCTACGCACGCCAACGCGTGCAACATATGCCCACGCTTACGCCTGCTATTAAAAGTGTCATTCGGTTGCTCTTCATCTTGAAAATTATGAACCATTATAGGTTTAACTGATAGGCAACGAAAGAATTGCGCAGTGCTCACACAAATGTTCTCAAGTGATAATAACACCATAATATTATCACTGGACCTTCTTTCCTCCACGGATACATCATTGGTTGAGAATCCCAATTTGTTGGCGGTCGGATGAGCTTTGTCGTGAATGATATCAAAACATTAAGTAACTTTGATCTTCCATCGAGTTACAAACCTTGCTGGGTAACGGTCGTAGTCTATATAATAGTCGTAATCATAAATACATCGTAATTACCACAGGAGTCAAATTCGATTGGCGAGTGCTGTTATCAGTCGCTATCAGCTGTTATCAGTTCCTATCATCGGTCGTCTATGATCCCGCCATACTCCACATCACATGCCAAACTGTCAAGGCTCCACTATTAATGCCATTGTCATAGTAGCTCTACGCTTTCAATTTCAATAACCCTTATCAGTTTTATCAGCTCTTGGCCTGGCACCAACCGTTCTCGATCCCGTCACCGAGTACCTACGATCCTGTCCTTACATAACCTATTAAATTCCAAGATTCCATGATTAACAGGAAGTGCGTTACAGTTCTAATGGCCTTCAATGGTTTCTTATCTGTCCCTGTCACTTGCTGTCAACCCCTGTCACCAATCATTAGCGGTTCCATCACATCCTGCACCACCAGCCGAAGTGCCAAGGCTCCACCGCTAATACGAAGGTAGTTACGGATCCTGAGGCTTTTGCCGTTTAAGGCTCCTTATCAGTTTCTATCGACAGTTGTCACTTCCTAACACCCGCTATCGGTGTTCCCATCCTGCCCCCTATCTCTCTTTCTAATTTGAATGCCCTAGGTCCAGTGGGACAGGAGTTATGAATTTCCGGTCGGACAAACACACACACAAACACACACACAAACACACCAGCAGACACACTTAGCCGATTATATAAGTAGGATGTTAATATGAACCGATAACAAACGATAACGGTAGATAAGGGAACTCATAAAGCTCACAGAGCATCAGACACTACACATTTCGTATTCACTAGAGAAAATCATCACTTATTGTGTGATAGGGGATGTGTAATGTTACATGATCGTATACTTATGATGACGATGTTATCAACTGCTAAGGGCAGGTGAGATGGTCGTAAATGCGCAAGCCAGATGAGCCGTCCGTTTTCACTATTAACATTCTTTAAACGTTGGTGGGTAAAGTGGGATATGACTAGATGGTAGCTGGTTGGTGACAACGACTGATACATATTATAGGAACTAATAAGGAATTGAAGGAGGCAAGAGCCACTCGTTGTGACCATTCCTAACCTCAGTTACATTGTAGCCTTGCCACCTTTGTCAATTTCATGCAATGAGAATGGGTTGCAGAGAAGTTTGACAAAACAGGACAGTCGCGCAAAAGTTGATTAAAATGGAAACCAGCTGGAAGGATAAGATAGACTCAATCCATAGTAGAAGTTTACGACCACAACGCATGGTGACTTGCAACAAAACATGGGACAACAATTTCGGAATGTTGCGATAGAACTTATCCGACCACCAATTATTTATCTAGGGATCTCTACTAATCATTTGTAGTTGCGAGCATTATGAGGCCTCGTGAGGTTCACAGATCTCGGCTTCTGATAAAGGATGCGATCATCTTTCGACAACATTAGTTAGTGCCTTTATAAAGTCCCCCTTGATTACTCAAGTTTCTCAGTTGCAGTATAGTCTTCGCGCCACTAGACCCGACACAGCAAAGAGTTAAACCCTTTTCAGACAATCATTTCCAGAATTACAGGGAACAGATCGATTTTCACATAAACAACCTTAAGCCATCAAGTAATGAATAACATGTCAACTGCTATGCCCATGCTGAACACCCCTCTTTCTAACCCTGTGCCAAAATTGCAATGTACTGGTTCTTAGAATTTCATTCAAAAGGATTTCGAGATTAGAATAGTACTAATTGCTCTGAAAAAGATAGGGGGTCAGTCGAGCATTCCACATTCGTCACAATAAGGATCGATACGGCTGGTAATCCTTGTTTCAGATGTCCTAAGAGAAAATGATAGAAATTATACAGAGAAAAATAGGTGAGGTAGGTAATTGCATTAGCGTTCTTAGAAAGCCTGGTAATCGTGACGTTTTCGCAAATAAAATCCATTATAAATCAATTTGGTACTTGGTTGAAGTTGACTATTGAAGCCATCTACTAGTTAATTATTAATTGATTAATTGTTATTAGTCACTAGAATTAATTTAACTCGATGATTAATTAATATTTCAATCTATGAATTTATTGGAAAGAGTCTAGCAAGTTAGATATTCTCGAACGAGCAATTAATTAGTCTTCTTTTCAGACCACACATTCAGAGGCGGAATGCCTATGTATGGTTGAAGTTCGATTTTTACTTTTTCATAGGAATATGAACGGGAAGTAAGTGGCATTAGATTAAAATGCCCGCAGTCAACTACTTAACATACTTTGGAAAACTACAGGGCACAGTTGAGAATCAAGGAAGAGTTCGCTTGTTGCGTCACCGTCCGAGAAGTCATCGACCACTTCCGAATCGAAACCGACGGCGTTCATCGGTTAGTTGACCTGAAATCTAAATTTCTGATGAGGTCACTAATTTCTTAACAAGCAGTAGCAGTTAATGCCACCATCGTGGTTTCGGAGTAGCGGTCAGAGAGGAAAGGAGTACAATACACCCGAAGGTGTGTCACACAACATAAAAGCAGAAACTGAAAGGCGATGGTACTTTGAAAATAAGTGAAAACAAGAGAAAAGATTAGTCTAAGAAAACTAGGGATAGAGCCATAGTTGAAAGTGATGCATGGTTTTCAAGAGGAAAGGGGGTATGTACGAGAGCAAAGAGAGAGAGGAGCAAGAAGCTCGCATAGAGGATCATCTGTGGAACAATGCTGTTACCTTTCTTATATGTATGGAAAGCTCTCTTTCCCCCGAGAAATGATCCTTCATGTTGCACTGGCCCAGGGCCCAATATGTATAGAGATGCAACAGTATTAGGGCTAGCTGATAGCTGACAACAAAGCTCGACACTAACAAGTTTGATTTGGAACTACAAGCGAGTAGACAAAGAGAGACTTCATGCGTAAGGATCAACTTTTGTACAAGATCCCCAAACAACCATAACACCTGGAAATCAAGGCCTCACATCATCAAAAGCATACACCACGTAGCGGGCTCCTTGCCTCGGAGAAAGAGACGGAAAAACGGTAAACAACGGTGAAGTAATGAAATGAACAAGTTACCTGAAACAGCCTAAGAAAATAACAGCTGCCACAAAAGAAAATACCGCTAAGAGTATAAAGAAGCAATTAGGGAAATAGGGACGTTTGCTTTCATTCACTGGCGACTTTGTGTTTCAGCGGCGTGTTCACGCCACGACTTGGGTACTCAGTTGGTCGTGAGCGCAGCAGTACCTACCCACTAAACGACACCGATCTGGACAAAACACTGGCTGAACTCTGTGGCAACGATGTTGACGCCAACACAATCACCATCGTGGCTGATGTCACCCGCTAAAGTTAGCCGCAGCAGTTGTCAATTACCGATTTTTCATCCAAAGATTTGACTTTGTGCTCACATCCATACAAAAGTGCTTGGAAACATCTCAGCCCTTTAACTACCCTAACCAGTTTTTTCTAGTGTTTTTTGGAATGAACAAGATACCGAGCTCGTCCTGCATCATGAATGTACGCAATTATAAATTTTTACGAATTTGTTGTGTGACACGCATAGTAAATATGCGAAGTAGCGTACATAAGTGAGCAACTGAAGCCAGTATTGAGGATGGGGGAGTAACTTCGATGTTGCTCAAGAGTTCGGGCGAAATTACAATAAATAAGACGTGAAAAAATTCGAAATATAAAACCGCGAAAGGGTACAGGACAGCAGCGTTGAGAATAAAGGCCAAAGCGATTGCAGATACATGTCGCCTCTGTCAGTAATACCCTTGCCACGCGTTAGAATATCAGTAAGACGGTGCTGTTGAAACACAACTTTCTTAACCCAATGCGTACCGCAGTGCTTTCGCGCCCCGACAATTTCTTCACAATTGGCGAGCCAATGTGACTCGCGGCGTACAACGCGCGGCCACACAGAGCCGTTTTCTGAACGAATCGCAAGGTATGCGCTGTTCGAACTTCACTCAAACTCTGGAGTGGTTATGGACCAAAACGCGGTCACGCAGAGGCGAAGGGGCGTGCCGGCACCATGTGCAGCACGCTGTACGCAGTAGCTTAAGCGCCCTCCAACTCGGGTAATTAAACCTAACATTTATGAGGAACAACAAACAATGTGAACATTCAAAGGAACTTCAATCATTAAATGAGAAGGGCTAAACAAAGGGAGCGCAGTAGATAATTGTGAGACAACAATCGATGAGAACATTCACAAGACTTCAATCAATGAGATCATAATATGAGAAACATCAATAAGTGAGAAGGGTAAAAGGAAAAGGAGCAGAATAAAAAATTGTGAAACGACAGTCAGTAAGAAGAAAGAATCAATCAATAGGTGAGAATGGTAAGGGAAAGACTGCGAAGTACGAGGGATGCCGCGGCCACATACATATATCCGCGTTTGAGCGCGAAAGCGATATTTGGTCTACTGATGAGGGAAATCGGGCAGCAAGTACAATCGCGGTTCAACAACCGCGATAAAGGCGTTTAGGTCGACTTGCTGCACCGTTCAGTAAAAGTCTACAGAGTACTCATCTGGAGATATAGTGATTCACCTACATACACGACAACGTTCGAAAGTGGACAACCAGCTCACTTTCCGCAGGGCAGTGAGTTGGAGAGTGCGGTGTAGAGTAGCACCCTCAAGCTGAACAATGTCTCTACACAAGTCCTTCAAAGCTAGTTGACAGGTTGGCCGCTGATGCTAGGGTGAAGAATTTTACCCTGATAAGTTATCGCACGGTTTATGAAGGAGACTGGAAAAGCGGCGAGCATACCGATGAAACTACGCAAATATATTAGGTTGATGCATAATTATTGCGGATTTTTTCCAGCAAATTTTACTTAAAGATATTATAGAAATACTAAGCAAAGACATATTCAAATAATTACTCCGGATCTTACTTACCATCTACGTCAAGCACT